GAGCTGTGTGTCTGTGGTTGAGGGCCTAAGCAAATATCAAGTCACTGGAGAGGCTTAACTGTCTGAGCAAAGCCTGTTTGGCTCCCCCATGCCCTGCTGTACCCTTTCCTGTGCAGAGAGTATGAGCTTTCTCCTTCTACCTCACCCAACACATAGCCAGTGGCCAGTTTTGCTCGTAGGAAGGCTCCACCTCCCAACCCATACAAAATGTATAAAATTACTCAAAAGTAGGTATGAATGGTGTACAATAATATCACCACTTTTCTGGACAGTGTGGTGTTATCAAGGTCTATCAGATCTTAAGCCTTGTTTCTACCAGCCATCCAGGACTTGTGCTTGGGCTTCTTCAGGTGGCTGCTACAGGCTCTGCGTGGAATCTTACTCTAAGCCCGTGTCTCTATTCTGTAAGTCCAATTTCCAGTTCAGTTACATTCTCTTTAGGAAACAAATGGGAAAGGTCATGGAAAGTGAGAGCGATGCACTGAGGGCTACATTTTATTTTATTTTATTTTATTTTATTTTATTTTATTTTATTTTATTTTATTTTATTTTATTTGCGGAACAGGGGATTGAACTCAGGCCCTTGTGCTTGCCAGGGAAGCACTTACTCCACTGAATCATCTCCCTGGCCCTGAGGTCTACATTTTAATCTGGGGGTGGCTCATGGAATTCAGACACAGAGAAATAGAATATGGAGCTGGTGGCTCTCAGCCCAACCACTATTATTACAGGTCATCAGCTTCCCCAGCCTTTCCTGCTCAAGGTGCATTCCTTCTCAGCTTCACCTGTCACCCTCAGAAGATTGTTAATGAAGCCCTTTGGTAGTATCTAAGTAGACTTTCCAGTATTACACACAAGAAAGCAGATTGAGCAGGAGCCAGGCCTACACCCAAGACATAAGTCACATGAGCAATAGAACAATATTGTGACTTCTGTTAGGCTCCCTCGGCCTAGGGGTGAGTGGAAGCTCTTTGGAAGCCACTGGCATGGATGCCATTCATGATGGCAGGAAACAAGTAGCAGGGGACTTGCCACCTAAGTGACAAAGGTAATTGTTCCCTATAAAAAGCATGTGCTTACCCTCTTCTCAGGTTCTCTTGCACCTAAGAGTCCCAGGTGGCTCTATAAATGGGGCTGCTGGCTCCACTGCTTGCCAGTCTGTGTAGCCTGAGCAGGCCAATTGGACAAGGGCTATGGAGCAACACTCAATCAGGTCTGAAGCCGATCTCTCCACACCCCCCACTGAAGAGCCAGAGCCCATAGCCAGCCTTGCCACCCCTCCAAACCTTGGCTATATTTTCCAGGATTCAAAGAAGTCAAGCTTGGTTTTCATGGTTTTCGGTTCTGCCTAATAATGGTCGATGACTAGAGGAGACCATTTTAACGTGGGCAGTGAGGAGACAGGAATGGGTGGAGGTTTTTGGGAAGATTGGGTAAGAATTTCCAAGAAGGTTTTAGATGAAGTAAGAACTGAATCACGTATCTTCCTTCCTTCCTACACAGAGAAAAAGAACTCATCTATAGTGACTTTGCCCTTAGGTTTGGGGGCCAGTGGCATGTCACCTTCTTTAGTGACATGTCACCTTCTTTATAGGTGGCAAACTGAGCATGAGAAGAAGAAGCAATTGTGTACAGAACAAGCTTTTAGAAGTAGCTCTTACAAGTGGCTACGCAGCTCAATGATAAGCACTTGCTTAGCATGTATGAGTGCCTGGGTTTGCTGGCAAAAATCAAAGTAACTTTATTAAATTAATAGGTATAGAAAGTGGTCGTATTCATGCCAGTGCTAAAAATAAACACAAATTATATTTTACTTCCAGTTTAGAGGTAGAACAAAAACAGCAAAAATTAAGCCATGTGTGATAGGATCAAATGTGACACCTCTAAGTTGATGTGGGTAGGAGGTAGTTCAGGGTGTGGATATATGTAGGAAAGTAACCAGGATGAAAACTTAGCCCTTGGCCAAATTGTAAAGGTCATAGAAACTAAGCTGAGGGGATGACACATTGAAGAAGCTCCTGAGGGGTCATCTTCCCTTTAAAGATGAATGACAGAATTTTGTTTCAAGAAGGTCAGACTAGAGACATCAGGTGGGTTGAGTAGAAAATTTTCTGTCCCTCCTGAGACTGACAAGTCGCTGAGGTTTTAGCGTCTCATCTGCATACTGCATGGTAGAGCTGTCTATACGCTGGCAGAAGAGAACGCTCTCAGCAGCTACTCATACATCATATTGTTTATATTTGACCAGGTTCCTTTTCAAAGAAGCTATTGGGCGAATAACAGGTAAATGACAAGATCTGCTCAGCCCTATAAAAACATACTGCCCCCTTCTTGTCCTAGCCATTGTATTCTAGAATGAAGAAGAAGCAAAATATGCATGGGAACTTGGAGACTGCTGCTCCCTCTGCCTAGTGTGGTCCCATTCCCCTTCTTACAGTCTTCTCAGATCTTTTTTCTCCATCCTTTGCTGTTGGTTTACTGTTCATCCTTTTATTGTATACAACCTCTTGAGCTAGAGTACTACAGGGCAGGACCTAAGACATTCTTGTTTTCCATGGTGCCTAGAGACAGGCTAGTGAAATGCCAGGTGTCCAAACCCTTACTCATTGAATCATCTAAGGAACAAGGAGCAGAGCAGTTGCCAAAGCAGTCCTACAGCACCTCCTTCGGTCTGGTCAGTAGATAAACAGCTCATTCCTTCTTAGAGAGCACGCCTTCAGAGGAAAGGACCCCGGGCAATATGCAGTGTGGAAAGTGGTAAAGCGTTTTCAGGTCCAGCTTCTCAGGTCTCTACACAGTAATCTTGCAGAGATTCCATGTGTTCCATGAGGGTGCAAGCCTCTCATGATGGTTCTAGTGAGTTGTGATGGTCGGCATGGCTGGGAATGACTTGAGACCACGTTACTCCACATCAGGTTCACTGCAAGAGGCAGTGACTTGGCCATCCAGGGTCATGTTGAACATTAATTCCCATTCACAGCAGGACTCCAGGGACTCTACATTCCCCAGCATCTTGTGTCTCAGGGCTACTGTCAGTATTTGCTGCTGTAGCAGAGACTTAACTCTCAGACTTAAAAAAGATCCCAGCCTGTTTCAGGAGTCTTTCCATACTGTCCGCAACATTTGTAGAACAAAAAACAATCTGTATTTCTTAAAGGAATTTTATTTTTATTGATAGGACAAAATAGATTTTTACCTTTCATTGAGCAAATCTCAAGTATGAAAGTGTTTTCATATAAGCCTGTGCAGTGTCATTGAAGAGGAGAAGGGGAAAACATGGAAAACATTAGTTTTGTTTTTACCAAAAATTTTCTGGAAATATTTGGAACCATGAGGCTTGACACAGTTCTTGCTAAAATCCTGGCATCTTTGCATTGTTGCCTACGTCCTGACTATTCAGGCCCTTAATTGCTGCTCTTGGGGTTGTTAGCTGAAACGACCAGAGCTGCCTCCTATCCATTCTGGTTTGCCACAGTAACAAATCGAATTCTGGATTAGGTGGCCAGTAATGAAGTCTTATTAGAAGCTGCCAGTTGCGATGGAGGTGAAGGGAGACAGTCTCAGCAAAAACCTTGCGGCTCTTATGTGTGGTCCACAGGCCCTGGGCATTGGCAGAGGCATTAGTAGTATCTCCAGGGAGCCACTTGAGAAAAAGTTTCAGGGACTCCAGGACAACGGAGGCAAACCTATGGTACCCATGCTGCAGCTGGCTGATAGCAGCAAAACCTGTGAAAGGCTCACCATCCCTGCTCTAGATCCACAACATCAGAATCTGCATTTGAAAACAGCGCAAAGTGGCACACCCGCCCAAGTCTAAATGTCCAGGTGATTCCACTGCAAAGTGACAAGGATGCAGATGTATATTACCTTGCCAGAGCCTGTATGGTTTACTTAGCTCCACTGTAGCTTTCTATTAGTAGGGATTACTGCACTGAGGGTTTCTCCTTCCAAAGAGCAGGTTTGTTTGTGTCTTCTCTGAGACAGGGCTTCACGATGCAGCTCAGGCTGGTCCTGAACTCACTTTGTTGCCCAGGCTAGCCTCAAACCCAGTGATCCTCCTGCCTCAGCCTCCCGAGTGCTGGGATTTCAGGCATGCTCCACTATGTCAGACTCTGAAGGGCAGGCTCTATGGATGAGATTCAGTTCAGTTAAAGGTACCTTTAAATCAACCACTTGCAGTGAAAGCCAGCCCTCCTGGCCCAGTAGTGCCTCTCTTGAAGCAGAGAACTGCCTGCCTACCTGAGACCTAAGACTTCAAGTACCACTGCCAAAAGAGGAAAAGATTTCTACTCTCACCTCAAGTGAAAACTGGTGCTTCTACTTTTTTTTTTTTTTTTGAATGGACTGTGCTTTGCAGAGTACACAGCATGCTTCTGAAAACAAAGCAATCTTGGTTTTAAGTGGGGCCTTCTGGCCACTTTTCTTAATCTGATTTGTAATCTAATAGGAAAGTTTGCAAAAGTCTGAGTGCTAAATTTCACAGACAGTGCCCAGGCAGATAGAAAACTGTTAAAGGAATACTACAACTCCCAGAAGGTTTTGCTAGAGACAAAAACACTTTTGTGAGAATACTAAAATGAATTGTTTTACATTTTTATTCATAAATAAAAGATATCCATATGTACTTTAACCAAACATCACTAAGAGGTTCTAATTTGTATAAATAGTAAATCTATAGCCCTGTATCCAGGGCAAGGAATCCAAGAAATAGAACAATAAAATGTCAGTGTCTTCATTTTCCTGGTTATTGGAAGAAAAACTCTTGAATAACCTCAACTTTCACACCAAGGTAAGTGAAAAGAAAGATAAATCCTACTTATGCACGAAGAAGGGTGGACACCAGTACACCAAATTATTGCATTCTGTAAACGAGAATAAAACTGGTGGCATTTGCAGGGCTCTGCTTTTAGGAGCCTTCTGAGATAAATACACGGGCCTTTTGAGAGTCTGCGTGACAAAGGAGCAATAAAATAGGGAAAATGCAATAATTATATCTCATCAACATTTTAAAACACTGTAGTTTCCAGGCTTGTGAGCCTTTATTTGCTGATTTCAACTTTTGTAACTGTCCCTGGTCAACACGACACACACACTGCCCTTTCTTGATCTCCTTCGGCAAGAAAATAGGAGCACCGGTTAGTCTGTAAGAGGACCCAATCCCTCTGGAGAAGAAAACAAAGCTCTGTAAAAATCAAACCGAACCCAAGCTGAACTAATCCTCCAGGACTCCGGCCGCTGGGAAGGAGGCTCGCTGTAAGGTCTTCCAACTCTGAGCCGGGCGGTAACAGCCTGCTTGCTGTACCTTCGTTCCAAGTTGAACAGGGCAGGGAGGGAAGCTGATCACCCTCGGACCCGCGCTGAGCCCAGAGCCTGTGCGGAGCAAGCAGAGGTGGGCCGCGGCGTCTACAGGTCCGAGTCGCAGGGCAGCGAACTGTGGCAGGGCCGGGTGCTGCGCGAGGAGGCGCTCTGGGAGGCGGCCGCCTGCTCCCGCTCCCCGGCCAGCACGTCCACCGGGTTGGTGTAGGCCCTGGGCGGCGGCCGCGGCATGGGGAAGCCGACCCTGGGCTTGGCGGCGGTGTGGCGCTCGGCGGGCGGCGGGCGGTGCTGTCCCTCGCTGTAGTACTTTATGGCCGGGGTCAGCGCGGGTTCGGGCCAGTCCACGTAGACCGTGCTGATGCTGCTGCGCCGCGGGCCGGCGGGGGACGCCTTGCGGCAGCGCTGGCACCGCTCCTCGCACCAGGGCGCGAAACTGAGCGCTAGGGAGAAGCCGCCCAGCAGCAGCAAGCAGCTGCCCAGGTAGCCCAGCACCAGACTGTAGCTGACCTGCATCGTGACCGGGCTGGCAGGGCCGGGCAGGACCTCGCGGTCCCGCAGGAAGTGGCTGTACCAAGACACCGGGACAAGGCTGAAGAGGCCCGCGACGAAGAGCGCGACACCGGAGAGGCCGGCCAGCGCGAAGTGCGGCTCGTCCTGCCAGCAGCGCACGCCGAGGGTCGCCAGCAGCAGCCCCAGCCCAGTGGTGGCCAGCGACGTGACCATGAGGCCGCGGGCCCCGCGCACGGGCTGCGAGGAGAAGTAGCCCCACTCGTCGTGCTGGCCGCACTGGCGCTCGCGGCTGCTCTGCTCCAGGCACATGTCCCACAAGCCCTGGTACAGGACGGTGTCCACCGGCTTGTCCAGGAAGCCCGTGGCCAGGCGCCAGCCGGGGGCCAGCGTGCTGACCAGGTTGAGCAGCAGCCCGCAAGGCGTGAGCACCATGCCCAGCGTCATCACCGCGGGCGTCCGCATCCCGGCCCCGCCGCACCTGCACCGCGCTGCTCCGCGCGGGGCTCCAGGGCCAGACTGGGACGCGCTGCGCGGCTGGCTCGGGCCCTCGCTCTGCACTCCCGGCCCGCCCCGCCCTCACTGTCCCTAATCGAAACCTGCTGCTGGGCGGGTCTCACCGAAACCGCCCTCCTGGAGCTAGGTCCAGCCCAGCCCATGGGCGGGGCGCTCGGCCCTCGGGCTCGGACAGTCCGCGAACCTGCAGAAGTCGCCCCGCCCCTGAGTCGCGGGCGCTCCAGTTGGGCCCGGGCCGGTAGGTAGGACTTGAAGAAGAAAGAGGCGGTGCTACGGCTTCCGCCCTAGCACCTCCTGGCTGTGCAGTTTCGGGTACTTCGCAGACCTCGGTTAGCCAAGTTTTTCTCCGGCCTGGCCTGTGGGGCCTGCAAGTATTGACTCCCTAGCTCTCAGCCGCTGTCCTACTCCTGCACAAGCTTCTCTGCTTTGCACCCTGTTCCGGCAAGCACGGATGGGTGCGAACCTGGAGCTTCCAGGTAGAGAAGCGGGTCTCCAAATGTAGCGCTTGTGTCAATTGTTTACCAAGCTTTGTTCAGTTTGTCGAATAAGGGCTCCAGAGCCCGGATTTAAGCTTAACTCGAAGGAATCACAGCGAATGTATTTCTGGGTTGAGAACACAGTTAAAAAAGATATTGTTCTTCCAATCTGTAAAAGACTTTGAAAAAGGGGGGGGGGGAGAAGGGGTGAGGGCTGGGAAATGTTGGTGGGTGTCCTGTTTCACATACTGTGGCCTTTCCTGGGCTTTAGGCTGTCTTACTACTCCGGATTGTAGAAAAGCTGTACTGTTTTGCCCGTGGATATATAGGTGGAATCTCTCCACTGTAATATAATTGATTATTTCCCAATGGATGTGTTCGACTTCGACACTAGTTTATAAATTTAACACTCCAGTTTGCCTACATATGTATTCTTTGCATTCTCCTTTGGCACATACGATCACACTTTTCCTGGTGAAAAAAAAAATGAGTTGAAATATTTGGCATTTGTTCTCCATTTGGCAGTCCTGGGTTTTCTATAAAAAATTACTGAACATTTTGTATTGATTTTTCCATGTTTCTTACAATGGAAGTGTATTATCTTTAAAATGGTTAGAAATAAAACTTTCTAAAAATAAAAAAGTTG